ATGATAAAATAAAAATTAATCTATTTGTGCATGGACAGACGTTCCATTTATTTGTTCACGCAGATGTTCTATATCCTATATTGTATGTAGTATGAATATATACTTCCAAGCGCAACATGCATTAATTAAACAGTGTATGTATGACTGTTATATTATTGATATATTGCCAAAGAGATACACTTTATACATTTAAGACTTAATTCTCTAATAATCATCAGAATAATTTCCCTTAATTTGTCATTGTTTTTTTTTTTAAAAGATTTAAGGATTTAAAATGTTTTATAATTTTATAAAAAAATAAAAAGATTAATAAATTCAATAATGTTAATAATATTGTAAGTTTAACAATGTTTAATGTAATAATTTTTTGAATTATTGAAACAACGCCATCCTGTGAATTAACATCTCAAGAGAATTGCAATGTATTTGAAAAATAGTAGTTGGAGAATAATATTTTTTGAAAAATTGCTACAATTATTTTATATAGAAAATTTTATAATAAAAATTTTCGTCATTATTTAATTTATTATAACTATGGGAATACAATAAGTTATAGTTTTTTGCAATGGATTTTTAAAAAATATTAGATTTATGTTATGCTAATTGTATATTAATGTTAAATATTTTATATTTTATATTTTACTTAACATATTATTCTAATATTTTTATATATTTTTAAAAATAAAGTATCATATTTATGCTAGTATATTAAAAGTATTTTTATATAATTATGTGGAGGAAAAGTAGTTCACAGTTATTCGATTAAACACCAATTAAAAATTAAAATTAAAATATATAAAAATAAATAATATTTCCTATGAGAATATTTCGATAATTCTATCTAATAGTTAAATAGTTAATCTTGTTTATAAGAAATATAGATAAAATATTCAAAAATAATATCCAAAATGTGAAAAAATTTTTATACTAAAGTAAAGTAAAGTAAATAGATAATAAAGTGTAATTAAAGCAACATCGAGTATAAAATATCATTAATATCTTAATAATGTAACCCATCCTTTTTAAGTTACTTCATACGATTGATAGGCGCACCTCTCTCAATTATCATTAAACATAGTTCTTGATGTCGAGGCGTAACTGATTGTTGCCATATCGTCTTACTGGTAATTGTACGATGTACGGCTAATGGACCAAATCGTTGTCTCAGAAGTGAAATCATTCTACGTTTAACGACCAAAAACTGGTTACGTCACTGGCAAAAAGGATAAAAGAAAAAAACATTCATTCTTGATTAAACTTGAAATTTTCTTGTAACTCGATATCATTCTTCTTTTTTTTTTTTCAATTTCAATCATAAATTGAAGTTATTTCGAACATACTATAGAAGTTTAAAATTTAATTTGATTCATCGTATTTTAATTATCTCTTACGATTTGTATTGTTTGAATTTATTGAAAATTTATAAATTTTATTTTAAAATAAAATTTAACAAATTAAATAAAATTAAATAAAATTTTTACGAATTATTATTTTGGAATTAAAATAATTTGTTTTGCAATTTCAATTTTATTCTTATATAAATTTCAAGAGACTACTACTAAGAGAATCACTATTGAAGCAATATATTATTTTAATTTGGATTATAAAATTAACAATACATATATCCAAATACATATATATTAATTTTTAAACGCATTACTTAAATGTTAGAAATATATTATATTTGATATTGTAAAATAATAAAATAAAGTATATCGACATTCCCTACATTATTCCCTAAAAAAAAATAATCAAATTTATTTCTATTATTTTTCAAACTAATTCATTTATTTCTAACGTGTTTCAAATTTACATAATAATTTGACCACCCGTTACACCGTAGATAGACTCTTCACCAGACCGACATTTAAGTGATAAAGATACAATTCAAAAGGCACTACACTACTATCGATGGAATTCAGGTTACCTACGTAATTAGCAAAGATAACTTTTAAGTGTCGTGAATCGACCGAGGCTTGGTATCTAAATGTGGATAAGTTTCGCGATGGAGAGGGTATAGTGGACAGAAGAAGAACGAAGAGGATATGTGCGCATCCGCGTGGGCGTGTTTGCACGTAAGATCGTCAAATCCAACCACTTTGAACAAGTATATCGGGTCTACGGTCCTCTGATCCGAGAATAGGCGACGTGTCACCTTTTTCTTTTTCTTTTTTTTTCTCTCTGACTAATTCTTATAGATTGGTTGTACGTTTTTAAGTGTGTATGTGTGTGGAATTATGCATAATTATGATGATGTGTACGGTTTGTAGTAAACGCAGTGCACATTTATCCTTAATGTTGCATCTAACTGTAAATATATGGTAATTATCGAATAATATTATGGAAAGATTATGTACTGATGTTTTTTGATATATTTGTGAAATATATCTTTGAAAAATCCATTTTAAGAACAAACATAAAAGTGTATGAGATTTATTATATGTATTTTGAAGTTGAGATTTATTTGTTAAGTTATAAACTGGAAGTTGAAGTTAACTGTAAGTTAGATGAAGTAAGATGGAAATAGAACTTTTATTTTATCTCTATCTCGCTTCTTCTAATTTTAATCGTTTATAGATTAAATATTGATGATATTTTTGTGTTTGTTTGATTTATATCTCACCTTATAAACACAATATATAAAACAATATATATAAAACACCTTATAAACATAATAAAAATCAAAATTAATTTTGAACAAAATATCTGCATGATAATATATAATATTTCCATCTCATTTCTAAAGTAATAAGTTTTTAATAGTTTTATTTATATTAAAATGGTTGAAATTTTGAAAATTGTTTATACTCAATAGATTAAGAATTATTGAGTGATATTTATTTTCAATATTGATAATAATGATATAATATTGATAATTTTTAAATTATAATACATTATATCTTCTTCATAAAAATAATATCTAATAACTGATAAAAAAAATATATCTCTTTTAGAAAATAATTTTCTAACAATATCATTCTTTAAAAATGATTTTTTTACCAATGTGTTAACTTCGTTTCACAACACATTTTTAATTTAAAACAATCATATGTAGTGCATGTGTCAATCGTAATTTTTTTCCTTATCTTATCTTGTGAGACAATAATTATGAGTGTTAATAGATAATAATTATTCTCTTAAATCAAAAATAATGAAGTAATCGACATTTAAGATAATTGTTATTATTTAATATACTTAAATCGTATGATATATAGCTTTTGATTAGCACTACAATATGGGTGTAAATATTTTATAACGATATTTTCTTATGATAGAAGCAAAGTTAGTTCAACTCATTATGCTGTATGTAAAACCATAAATATAATAAAGAGATAAATAGTGAAAAATCCTTTGAAAGCAGATTTTATTTTTTTAATGCGTCATGATTCTTAAATAAGTACGCATTGACTAGGTATTTTTATATTAATATTATTAGAATATTATTGGAAAAAAATATATGTAATGAATAAATTTTGTATAGAATGTAATTAGATAAAAAGGTGTAATAATAAAATTTAGAAAATTTATAATTATTGTAACTGTAATCAATATAAATTTTAAAGTTAATGGTTTAAAATTTAATTTTGTGTCTACTTATAATAACATATGTGATCTTTTGTAGTAATTTTTAATAATGATAATATTTTTTTTTACAACAAAAAATTTAATTGAGTCAATAGAAACTATATGTTGTATTTAAATGAAAAGAAAAAAAAAATACCAAAATTCTGTAAAAAAAGAAAATAAAATTTTGTATGTACTTTCTTTGATATTTTTCAACTATAAAATAATAATTACTAATTTTTGGTTTTATCTTACATAAACTTTTTATTCTTTCTATTCACAATTGATAGGCAAAGAATAATAATGGTACAAATCATGTATATTTATTTTATTCTCCAATTTTCCATTTTTTAAATTCTATTTTATTTTATATATTATATCATAAATTATTAGAATTTTAAGATCACATTATCTCTGACATGTTACATATGAAATAATTTTAACAATTCTTTGACATTAAAAATACAAAAATATTTTTCTAAAATTATGCATAATATCTGGATAAATAATTATTATACCATCTATGTTTATGCACTATTTTTATAAATGAATCGAAGAAATAAAAATCAACTAAAACATCAAGACAAATTAATTAATTATATTTGTAACGACCTTGATTTGTTATGACGTGTATTATAATATCAGCGACTTCCTACGTTCATTTCCGCTCAACAAACATGAACATACTTTCATCTTGGTACCTGGAACTCTAATGATACATTGTCTCCTTTGATGAACCGATGAATTGTGTTTTGGGAAGGCGTTCATCCGGGACGAGTCGTAAAGCCCTAAGGTTACATAAATGTCACGACTCGTGCTCGTTTATTCGTCTGTTTGTCGATGCATTTACAAATAAAGAGAACCAACGCCCATCTGTAAATTGACATGACACTCGAACAATTGGATCGTTCATTACGAACGATGTGGTGCAAGTTCATTTTTAGAAAAAAAAAAAAAATCGAAATAAAAATTAGATATTTACATATAATTTAGCATATGAACTTTTTATTCGTAAAAAACACTTGAACAAATGAATACTCGTTCGTTACGAGTATATAATGTCAGGTTTATTTTTAGAAAAAAATTTTGAGAAATTGGAACAAATTTTATTTGAACAATTGGTGTTTTTTTATTTAGAAATATTTTCATGAAAATTCGAATGTTATTATAGGTAATTAAAATAGAATTACAATTCGAAAAAAATTGAAAACTTTCTTCTTCATAATTCCATCAAAAAAACAAAATCTTTCTAATCGTCAAAAAACACTTATCATACGTTGATCGTAAAACAAAATACTACTGAACAATTCAAATAATTAGTAATTAATACATTGCATTTAATATAATCTTCCATATTCGTTTATTTTCACTTTTAATGTAGGAAACGTTCTCAGATTCTAAGAAGAATCCAAACACGAGAATATTATTTTTACAAGGTATCTTATCTTACCTGGTAATGAATATCAATGCAAGGAACATGCACGAGGGAAAGGATAAGTTAAATTATCGATTCTTAACGATAAGAGAGAACTCCGGCTCGTGGCTCGATTCCAAGGGGGCGTTTGCATGGCTTCCATCGTTGTGGATTAGTAATCTTCGACTAGACGACTACGGGGAGCAGTACACCCTATGAAAAAAAATTCTTCGCTGTCTTTAGTCAATCTTAAGTTAAAGTTAATAGTCAGGTAATGTCAAGACAAGAAAAAATGTACGATAAAATGATAAAAATGATCATTTATAAAATCTGTGCAATGCTGTTTTTCTACGAACAATTGCATATGATTGTTGAGAAGTTGAAATTGGATGAATTGTGGATTAGAACATTTAAAATTATATATTTTTGAATGTATCTATTATTTATGATCGATGTTATAGATTCGTGAATAAAATTTTTTTATCAAATTTTCTTATTCTTTTTTATGTAATTTTATTAAACCTGGACAATCATATTTATCATCAAAAATGGATGATAAAGAAAGAAAATAGAATATATTGAAAAAGAGTTTTTAATTTTTTGAAATTATAAAAATAGTTATTTTCAGGAATAAAATTATTTAATATTTTTTTTTCTTTTCTTTTTTTGGAAAATATAATAGCTTTCAATCAAAATTTGTATATTCATATTCATAAATGTAAATATAATTATATTTCATATCAAAATCATATTGTTACTAAAATATTTCAAAAATTGAAAATGGATTTTGTTAATTATATAAATGGTACAGAGGAAATGAAAAAAAATATGACAGAAATATAAAATTTTCATGCCATAAAATATTTCAGAATTGTTATATATGCGAGAATAAATTTTGTATTAAATTGTTAAAAATTAAATATTTACATGCTACAAAGAAAAAAATATATCAAGTGAAAATGAATCTGCAATCGATATTGAATTTATCTCCGTCGGTATATTTGATTTTAAATAATCGAGGAAGTTATCATATGTGTAAATACACAAACTTTCGAAAGCGAGTATTCTTACCGCAAGATGGTTGGAAAGACTAGTATTGATTTTATCATAAACGAGGTTGTTTGTGATTTTGTCGTACAAGTAACGACTGATGGTATAATTAAGTGAAGAAATTTATTTTATAGAAAAGAATTTTAATTTTATTAATTTCATTTTATAATTTCATTCGAAGATTAAAAGATTTAACAAAATTCTCTTTTTCAAAATAATGAAACGATAATTATTATAGATATTATATAACATGAAAAAGTAAGTTTTTGAATAATCAATATTCTATAACTTTATATATTTAAACAATAATTTATTGTTTATTATTGATTATTATTTAAATATTGTTGTTATTCGTTTTTTTTAGAAATTAATAATTTTTACAAAAATTTATAATTTATTGTTAAAATTCAATTAAAATATATAAAATAAATGACAGAATATTATTTTTAAATAAATTGTAATTTTTATGAAATATAAATGTTTTATTTATAAACAATATTATAAAATTTTGTGATATTAAAAGTGGGACAGTTATTGCATCAAATATAGAGAAAAATATATGTCGCTAAAACAACAAGAAGATACTAAAACTTTTTATCGCCAAAAGCAATTTTTGACGAAAATTGTGTTCAGAATTCTAAAATGTCAGAGTTAACACATACATAGATATATATTCTAATAATCGCGTGAGTAAGCTATTTGTTTGTAATTATTTTTAAACTAAATTTACTATTTTCTTTTTTTTTTTTAATATTTTATTTTAAATATTAATTTCTCATATCAATAAAAATATTTATTTATTTGTTATGTATTGTATAATAAGACATATTTAAAATAATTACATACTGAAATTAAAATTATATTTTTTGAAAGTATTAATAGACAAATTTATAAATTGAAACTGAATAAATAAAAATAAATGTAAAAATTATTAATCTTCATTGTTAATTCTTTTTTAATAATTTAAAATAGTATGTATATATTTCTAAATTACTAACTATATCATTTATTAAAGAATATAATATATAAATATATATTATATATATTAATATAAAATTGGATCGAAACCTGATTTTTAAATTTGAAAAGATTTAATGATTTAATAAAACATTTATTAATTTAATAAAACATTTATTAATTTACATATAATTCAAATAAATAAAAAAATTACAAAATATTATTTCATTTTTATTAATATATTTTATTAATTTACAGAATTCAATTTACAACAAATTTAATAACGATAAGTCTTCATTTTATTTCAGGTAAAAAAAATCAAATCTTCATTGTCGAATTAAAAGAAGTTATGCAGTGAAGCAAAATCTTCAGCAACCAGAAATAGTCGACAACCGTGAATTTGATATTTTCTGCAAATAATATAGTCACGTATGTAACATTTTAATATTATTTTATTATCGATCTTCTCGTATTTCTATACAAGAATGTGGCGCCTGTGGGTCGCGACTCAACACATTAGTTCATCATTTGTCGATAATATCGCCACTTGGAACATAATATTAGGGTATACCACATTGAGAAATGAATGAAACAACTGTTTCATTGAAGAAGTTTGACTGGATCTTTATACAGTTAACGACATGTAACCGACGATGAGGCGCGAAATAAGCAAGGGGGTATCAATGACGGGCTTACAGCTACTGGATAATTAATCAATGGAGATATAGGCAAACTCTATAACCTCTATACAAATTTAATTCCTTTCCGCATCAATGTGAAAAATTTTACGAATGGAATTTTATTATTATACTTAATTTAATTCTTAGATATATTAGTTTTGAAAATTCAAATCAATATTTAAAAAATTAAAATTTATTTCTCTAAATGGAACTTTTGTCTCTAATATTGTCTTTTATAAGAAAAAATTGAATATTAATGAATAACTTCTATAAACTCTATAACTTCTATAATTCGAAAATTTTTTAAATTATTATAATATATAATATTTATTTATTCTCTTCTTATTTAAAGTTCTGTAAATCGAAATATAAATTGAATTATTATACTTTTAGGTTAGATATATAATATTATTACTATACTAATAATAATAATTGAATTCAAAAAAACTTCTACAAATCAAATTTATATAGTAGTAGTATAATTCTAATTATAATAATTCTAACTATAACAGAACAATATGTCAGTAATCATTTGATATTTTTGTTTCAACTAATAAAATTATAATAATATCGAGTGTTCGAAAACAAAAGTCGATACTTGTGAATGTTTCTTTCTTTTATTTTTCCATACAATTGGAAAGCAACCCTTCCCAATGTTCCATAAAATTTTTATGGCTTGAAAACTTTGGTAAGATGAAATCTCTATAACTGGAAGATTTTGTTTCCCTTTTTTTAAAATACGAGTTGCCAAGGTTCTAACGTGTTATGATGATCTCGAAATGTTAGTCTCGTGACTCCGACTGAGCGATATTTATCAATGACTAGATAACATATTATTAAGAGAATTATGGACACGGTGATAAAAATTTTATTATACCATACATGCATTATAAAAAATTCTTTGTATTTTATATTTTTAACAGTATTCTATGGATTATAAAATTGTTGTACTTCTACTTCTAAAATAAATTAAGACTAAATCAAACTAAGATTAAATCAAGTGGATTGAATATTAAAAATTTTTAATTTTTAATTTTTTACTTTTGCAATATCAAATTATTAATAAAATATCATTTTTAAATATTATTTGAATATGCATATAATAGGTTAATTAATACAATTTTTAAAAAAATTTTTAAATTTAAAAACTGCACATTACAAATTTATGTTATCAATTTGAAAAAATAAATTTTTTATAAAGATATGACTATCTTTATACATAGAAAAAAAATTGTAAAATTAACAAATTATAACAATAAAAAAATCATTCATCAGTGGAAGATTAAAAAATAGCTTTACTCTTTAATAAAAAAGTAACACGTCTAATTGTTAATTAAAATATTTTATTTATCAAATAACTTTGATAATAACTTTTCGTCTCGGACTTATAACATAAAATTTTACATCTTTTTCACTTTCTTTTTTTTTTAAATATTTAAAAAGTCAAAATGTCTATATACATTTTTATTATTAGATATAAAATATAGGAATGAAAATTATACTAGAAATATTTATGTAATTAAATTAAATGTTCTTAATGGACACAAAAAAACAAATATTAAATATTTACAATATTTTATGTAATTCATTACAAATTATATTGTATAAAAAAATTATAATCAATTCTTTATATCTTAATATAAATATCTTAATATAAAAATTAAAAAAAAAATCTTTAAATTTTTTATAAATTTTCAAATAATCACTAAATGAATCCTTGAAATAGTTTATCCTATATTTGATATCTGTGTAAAGTATTTATACAGATATCAAATTCTAGAGACAAATTCTTTAGGAATAGAATTCTATCAAAAATTTACTAGGAAGTTTGAAATATATCAAGCTAACTAGGGTGCTATTGCATCAAAGTAATAACATCGGAATTAAAGTGGCCGACTAGAAAAGGGTGCGCCATGCTTTATTCGCGCTACAGGCCATTCGACTCTTTCGTGCTTACAAGATAAATGTATATTTGCCCATAACGAACGAGAAAAGTTACAGTAATTAGAATGAAAGTGAACGACGTGTTTAACTATTTTCTGTTTCCTTTCCGAACTCGTGCTATTGAAATATCGTATTATCATCGAACAGATATATAAAAAAATTAAAAAGATTTGAGAAGATATATTATTAAATGAATATAAAAATATAACAAATCATAAGGAAGTTGATATTAAGTTTATAATATTACTGAAATAGAAAAATATAGAAATATAAATATAAAAATATATATATAATAGGAAAATAGGAAAATAGAAAAATGTTAGATTGAAATTTAATATAATAATTGTGTGAATTAATTGAAGGACAAAAGTATTCACATAAATTTTTATGTAATAGAATAAGAAACAATCAGCATTTCAATATTTCATTCTCTTTAAATCTTAAATCATCCAAGTTCTTTTTTCAAAATTATAAATGTCTCAAATTTGTTTTTTTATTCAAGTTTTTTAATTACATTATAATTTATTTCTATCTTAGTAACATGTTTAGTGTATGTACTTGAATTTAATATTGAATTATTATAATCATTTTAAACAGAAAAAAAAAATTTTATATATATATATTTACATATAAAACATTCACACAATAGAACATTTATATAACTGATGATGAGGCAGATTTTACTATTTTACTATTATATTTTATGAATATTTGAAGAAATATTTATGTAGAAATTTATTCGGAATATTGTATAACATATATATAAGTCAATATAATTATATAGAATATTATTCTTTATATTTCAATATTAACTGCTATGTTTGGAATATAAAATATATTTTAAATTTGTAATTATTGTTTGTTAATTATTAAAAACATAAAGAAAAAAAAATACATAAAAATAGTTTTATCACATTTTTATCATAATTGATTTTTCATTATGTCTGAGCTACATTCTTTATTAGGTATTTATTTAAAAAAAAAAACTTATAATGTAAGTACAAAAACTTCAAAGTTAGCTGACAATAATAAATTCAAGATTTCGTTTAAAATAAAACTTTATTAGATTACCAAAGTTTCACTAAGTTATCACTAAACTCGAATTAAATTCCATGAACAATTTTCCACCCCAAAAATCTCAACTTTTCAATTTACTTTTCGTGTTCGTCAAGTGTACACTCTCAACAAATCTCCGATTACATAACTGCTTATCGCAAGAATAAACTTTTTTCTCTTTTCACTTTCTTTTTATTACTTACTTCTTGTTTAATTGTCGTTAGTACAAAATAAATTTCAATATTATATCAAGATTACAATATTATATCATGATTGGCTAATTATCGAAATAAATTTTTAATTGAACAACAATTTGAATAAAATTTTTATTTTATTATTTATTTATTACACTATTTTATCTTATTCATCTATTTCTTTCATCATAAATATAAAGAAGTTCTTCCATTGTAAAATTTCTATTCCTAAAAGTAATTTTTTCTTTATCTATGTCAAAGTATATTACTTTTCATACTTTTCGATTAATACACTTCTTAATCTCAGACGAAATCTGTATTTCTTATGTCCGAGAAACTATTATTTCTTATCTTTTATTTCCTATTATATGAAATAATCAATAATTTGAAAAATGAATCATTTGAAAATATTATTTATTTTTTAATGCGAAAAACTTTATTGTTTGTTATTTTTTATTTTTTCGTTATTATTTGAAATAATCATTTGAAAAATAAATTATTTGAAAATAATTCATTTCTAAAAACAAATTTGAGCGAAATTTATTAATAATTTAATTTATTAATAATTTAAAAATAATTATTATTTCGAATAATGTTATTCATTATTTGATAAATAATATATATTAATTGAGGTTATTTATTTTATTTATTTTATTTATTTTATTTTCTTTATTTATTTTTAATTATAAATATTTGAAATAAGGCAAATATTTGAGAAAATATCAAATCAAAGAATTAATTATTTGAGAAATTAATATTTTTTAATAGAAAATTTGTTTTTAAAATGATTTTCAGAATATGAACAATAATTATAATAAAAATCATAATGTAATAATGCTAATTAAAAGTAATAATACAGTAACATTTGATGCTGTATACTAAAAAACTATTTATTTTTATCGAAATCAAACAACAAATAATTTATTTTGATATATATAACATATATTATATGATATACTAACAAATCATTTAATTATATATAAATATTTCTATATATTTTCCATATAAAATACTTTATAAAATAATTAAAAATTTAAAAATTTCTTAAAAATTTAAAAATCTAAAAACATTCAAATTTATTTTCAAATATAATTTTAAAATTCACATAACCATTATTTCAAACAAATCTATTTCATTCGAATATTCCTTTTCAAATAAAAGATATTTAATCCCAATCATCCCTAACCATTGATCGACAAATTCCACCAATTATCCCTTTTAAAATTTCTTCTGACGAAAAGCACAAGAAAGAAACTACTATCACTAACTATCGCGTGTATGAAAGAAGAAAAAAAAACAGTCCAGTGGTACATAATTTATCGATAGATTGTTTCGTAAAAGCTCGACCGACTGGGTGGGTTATCGAGTGAGCTGGTTAGGTTAGGTTGTCTCGTCGGGCGTCGAGGCGCAGGAGCAGTGCACATCAGGACAAACAGACCGACGTGGGACGAGGGACGGACGTACCTTGCCGAGGAAGGACTTCCAGGTCTTTAAACGGGCTAGTTTCTCGCGAGACACTGATCGACGGACAACTCTGGAATTCGACAAACGTATTCGACAAACTGCTTCATTAGTCTAGATTCTCTAATCAGGTAAGAGACACGCTGTTATCCAAGCACGAATAGCATCCAACCAGCATCATACGTGATTGGTCAATCCTTGATCATATAAGATCCTGGATTGTCTTTCGTGTTGTCACTGGGAAAAATCGAATAAACGATTCGAAGTATACCGTGCTTCTTATTTTTCTTTTAGAATTCATATAATATGATTTAGATTTATTTTAAACGTAGCATACGTGACTGGTCAGTACTGGATAATATAGGATTCTGGATTGTCTTTTGTGTCGTCACTGAGCGATCATCGAACGAACGAAATATATAACCATGTCTTATTTTTATTTTCTATTTTTACAATTTGTGTACTACGATTTGAAATCATTTTAAACATTATTCATGTAGCATACATAGTTGACCAATTTTGGATTATATAGAATTCTTGATTATCTTTCGTGTCATCAAAAAAATAGAGTATACGATTCGGAATACAGAGTTTTTTATTTTTATTTTATTCGAAACTTGGGTATTGTGGTTTGAAATTATTTTGAGCGTGGATATTTTAGGATTGGATAGAAATTATGTCTGTGTCATATGATTCTGACGCTATACATACGATGCCTCGCGGAAGAGTCTAGATTCTGTGACCTGTATTCGCAGTAGATAAGTCTGTGGAGGATCCTAAGATGATTTTTTGTATCATCATTTTTTAAGATTAAGGAGTCAAAATTATTAGTTTTTTAAGAATCATGAATATGAAATAATTGATATTTATTTTAATTCTTGTTAACTCTTGTAATTCTTAATATTTAAGTATCCTTGTAATTCATTATATTATTAGAATTAAAAATTTGTTATTTGTAACAGTTTTTTATTTGAAAACATTTGCTATCGATTATATTCCAAGCTTGTAATTTTGTCGCTAGAAAATTATTAGAATCAGAACTTGAATAATTATGGCTGTTGACGTAAAGATTTTTATTGGAATAATTTTTAAGAAAAAAATGTCTCTTATAAAGAATATTATAGCTATGGCATCGATGAATAGCACTGCTTATGCAATTCGTAGCTCAAGCAACTCGATAATTTGTTTTTAAATGGTTTCAGCCGATTCAAATTATTAGTGCAATCACCCGCAATAGTAATTGGAAGCAAACATCCATAAGCGTATAGAATACTTGCACAATACCTAGTTACACACTTAAATGTGCACTCTTCATCTAGTTCAATTCTCTCAGTATGATATTTTATTTAATTATTATGTCCAATTTATTTGTTCTTTCTTGTCTTCGAATCGAATAATGTAATTTCTAATAATTCTTGACGTCGATATTTTTCGTTTCATTGTTTGGTGGTATTGTGTACGACAAGATAGCAATAGGATGATGAATATAATATTGAGCGACTGAAATGTAGCACTTGATGACCACATGAGGAAAACACGATGAATCATATTTTATATTTTTTTCAGAAAAACAATTTTAAAGCTTGAAAAACTGTCGATATTATATTTGTCAAAGAAAAATATTTTCGACTTGAAATTAAATAATTGTTTCATAAATTTTAAATCGTTATCTTTAACATTCTTTTGATTGTTTAATAAAGTTTTATAAATTTATAATTTTTTTCTCTGTTTGTTAAAATATTTTAGGTAAGAAGTTGTCATACTTTTCTTTCAATTTTTTAATTAAATTTTATTAATTTATTAGCTTATTTGTTAAAAATTTTAAATTGATTATTTCCCTTAGTACTTTTGTAATTTTTTAATGAAATTTTATTGATTATTAGCTTTTTCTTATCTATGAAAAATTAAGAAAAAAATCATTTATCATTTTCGTTGATATTTTTTTATTTTTTTTAAATTTTTTTAAAATAATAAATTTATTTTTTAATTTTTGATAATGTTTATATTGTTTATCATTTTGATATTTTATAAAATTATTATAAAATTGTCTTTGATTTGTATGTCATTTATTTCTTTAATCGTTTTATCATTAATATTTGTTTCTGAATTTTAACTTACTCCATGACAAATAAAAAATTCGTACATTTTAAAAAAAATAAAAATAGAGTATAAATAAAACGAAGTTTGTTTATAATTCCATGTTCGATCTCTGATGTAATTAACATTCTAATTCACAATTCTAAAATATGTAACGATACGATTACCTTGAGAATGATAGAAGTTAAATTGATTCCAACCCTTCTAATGAATAATTCGTATATTATGTATTCGAATATTACGTATACATGCATTGAAATATTTTTTTTTTACTATCGAAAAAAATCAAGGTTGAGTAAAAATTAAAATATTTCCATTTCCATAAACAAATATTGTTTAAAAATATTATTTCACTTTATTTCATAAATCAAATTAGTATTTTGGAAATATTATTTTGTTTAATATTTAAATTATAGACAAGTATTTTTTACTATTTACTCTCAAATAAAAAAAAGATTTCAATAAAATATTAAAATTTAAAATATTTCTTATTATATTATTTATGAAACTTTCTATTAAAATACTCTTGAAAATATATGAAATACTCTTTCTTTATGTATATTTCTTATGTATATTCATTATCATTATATATCTATTCTTTAAATATTATTTCAAAGAAAAATTAAATAAAAACATTCATTTCTATTTATGTATTATTGTATATAAAGTGACAAATTTCATAAATTCATAAAAACATTCAAAAATAAATGATCAAATATACTCTCAATAATATTCAAAACTTGAAGATTAAAATTTAAAGTTGGATCAATATATTAAATTATTTTATCAATTATTTTATTATAAAGAAGTAAATTATATATTGTAATAAACTTCAACATTAAATTCAAATACTTTGATATTTAAAATTATAATATAATAATATAACATGTAAAAAATTAATATTATAATATGATATATTTCCAAAAAAAAAATTGTATTAAAGGAATAAACAATCTTTTGTTGAATTGTTTGTTATAATATTTTATATTTATTTACAATATTTTATATTATATTTTAATATTTTTAACCTTGCTTCTCAATTGACAAGATATATGAATTTATGGACTTAAATTTTTTTTAATATTATTTTCAATAAAGCTATTAAAAATTCTTATATTAATATAATTTTTAAAAAAAAAAAAATAAATAAATAAAAATTAATCATTCAAAAATCAATCATATTCTTCCATCATAATATACAATTTAAATAGAAAAATAGATTTGAAATATCAGAGAGTTGAAACCCTTTGTGTACGAAATTTACACGTTTTTCGCAGTAAGAATAAAACGTATGCGCATTTCTGATTCATCTCTATCGAATCTCCATCGAGGCACTCGCTCGATAATACAATATCGTGAAAGGACCTTTGAAGAGTTGTGCCTATGCTCGAGCACAGAATTCGAGGTGTCGATCGTCGATTGATTGATATCGACTGTACCACCTATCCTGTTGGCACTTAAATCGCTTTTAATCTCGGTTTTCTAACGTGACTTTCGAAATTCCTTTTTGGATATTTTATATTATCGTCACGAATAAATGATTCTAAATCATGAAACATAAAAATTCTTTTTTTTTTCGTTTGACAAATGAATGTATCGTTTAATTCGAATCTAATTGTCTTATTACGAGTATACATATTACGTTATATCAGAAATTCTTTTCGTTTCTTATTAACGATAAGTCTGTATTTTTTCTAAAATATTTACACGGTTCATTTTATTATTTCATCATTTATCTTTTATCATAATTTTGTATAAATATATTTACGTATAAAATATTCTAATGTCAGAATCATCTCCTTGATTCAAAAAAATATATAAATTAGGTTATATTAAAAATTCTCTTTGCTTTTTATTGGATAGATCTTTTTGTTTTCTAGAATATTTACACATTTCATTTTATTATTTTATTATTTATCTTTTATACAATTTTATATAAAGTATTCTGTCTAAAAAAATCATCTCTTTGATTCAATAAATTAACTTACACTAAAAACTTACTATTAAACAGATTCTGTTTCTATTAAACAGATTTGTATTTTTCATGATTTAAATTTTCATTTTGTTATCCAATACATTTTATTATTTTATCATTTATCACTTATACAATTTTATACTTTATAGGATAGGATTTTATACCGTATAGGATATTTCAATATATCAGATTCACTTTAAAATTGAAACTTCCACTCTATTTTTTTAAAATGATTTTGCAAAATATCAAATATCAAATTTACAAAAAATATTAAAAAAAAACATTCTTTTACAAATAGTTTATGATTAAATTCAAATGGTAGAGTTTATATAAGATAAAATAATATTTGTACTTATTACATTATAACAAAAATACAAATTACAATTCAGCCTCAAACGTGAAACTCGCTATCTTATTGGCGTATAACTCGCGACTATGGTAAATAGGTTAGCATCCAGGAAGCGTTGATGTGTTCGATAACCGCACCATGTGACAATTGTACATCAACATTGGTGACTCGAAGATGCTGTTGTAAGATAAAAGAAACGTCACCTGTACTTACTAGTGATTCGCCTGTTGTTATCAGTCGTTAACCTCGATCCGTCTTTTCGTTTTGTCCGCAACGAGAGTCGTAAATAATCCGAGTGCACGCAAAGACGCGTCTAGCAGTAAAAAGTGTAAAGGCTTTGAATTGTTCTTCATGGTGAGATTTTTCTTGCAAGATCAGTGAAATCGAAGTTGAATGTGAGTGATTATTGGAGAATCGAAATTGACATAATTGTTGATAAATATTCGTAGAATTGGAATATAATTATTAATGAATATTCATAGAATCGCAAATAGAAATGCAGTTAAGTGAACAATTGTTAATTGATAGAATATTCGTAGAATTGAAATTGAGATATAATATTTGAAATTTTTACCAGAGGATCCAAAAATTGAAATTGAAGTGCAATATTAACAATTATCGATAAATATTCGTAGAATTCAAATCGAAATGCGATATTTATGATTTTTGGCACCGGATTGATAAAATTGAATTTAAAATACAATATTTGA